CAGTAATTCTCTACGTAACACAGAAATTAAAACTAAGAATAGTTGATGTTATCAACTATATACTATCCTGTAATCTGCAAAACCACTGAAGTTCTATTGTCTTCATTTAAAACAACTTCTATATGGCTTTTCACCAAGACTATCTATCCATTATTTCAAAACAAACTACAAATTCCACTTAAAGCTAGTATTTGCTACACTCCTGGGACTACTTGCTGTTAAGCATTCATCTGTACATTATGTACTGTCCTTACTCTCTCAGTTGGATACTGCCAATTAGGCAATCATCACAATGAAATGTTTTCTCGCTCTAAGCGGCAACGTAGAACGGCAGCTCATGCTGCAGGTGGTCAGTGATGCAAGCACATAAATATTTTATAAATAAATATGAGGGAGGGAGGAAGGAAGGGAGGGTGGAAAGGAAAAGACAACCCCAAATTTTTTGCTTTTGGTTTCATACAGCATATTTCTTCAGGATTTACCACTGGATAATAGTCAACTGACGCAGAAGAATGGGCACAATTTGTCAAAGGCATACGGATAGTTTTATTTGTTCCTTATTGAATGTTAATGCTCTACCTTAAATCTATTCCCTCAAAATTATTTTCAGCATACAGTATCTCCCTCCCTGCTTAATACAGCTTCCAAGTGCAGAATGAACTGGTATGAATTAAAATCTTCATACCAGTAGCCTACTAAATGAAATTGCACTAAATGACAGACTACATGGAGCAGTCAATGTGCATAAGGCTATCCAGAAAAAAAGCTACTGACAGTAATTCTGAATTATTCTGCAACATCAAAACTTACATCAGATGGTCTCTATAGCACCAACATAACCAGCTATAACGGTGTCTATAGTAAAACATACTTTCATCATGAAAGAAATGATTTCCAAACTTAAAAGAACACATACTGTTTATAGACGTGAAAAAAGAAATGCAAAACAGTTTAAGAATGGCAAGGTGTTATGAAAGAAAAAAAAAAAGTAACAGTAGGAATTCTCTTTATAATCTAAGTTAGAAGATCATATTCTTGTCACATATAAAGCCACAGTAAAGTCTCTTTTTTCATTTATGCATTAATGTATCTCAGAAGGGTGTTTAGCTTCAGATGTAAAACACAGAGGAAGCAAATTTATTGATTTGCTGTATTTAAAGTATTAAGAATTTATACACGAGGATGCTTCAACAGTAGCATGAATTAGCAAGGAATTGCCAATAAATATTTAGTAAGCCACTCACACCTTGCAAAAAAAGCCAGGGTCTGATCAAACCATGAGGAGATAGGAAGAACATGAGGTTTTTTTCAGGAGAAAAATTGTTTTGCGATGAAAAAGTCTAATCTTTTTGTCAAACAGTTATTTGTGATTTAAACAGACTGTACACTATCAAATAGCATCTTGCTCTACACACACATCATAACTTCTTGTAACCCAGCCTGCAGAGATCCTGGTACATACATTCAACAGCCCTCCTTTTGGACACTTGTAAAATATCTAAATATAAATCTATGTTCCTAGATTTATATACTTTAGACTGAAAATACTTAATACTATTGTTTCGTTACTTTAGCTTCTTAGATGAGGGTCCTTGCCCTCCCCCATTCTTCTTGTAAGGACAAGACATACAAACTTGCACACTTCATTCTTTAACTAAAACTAAGCTAAGAAACAGAAAGACAAGTGAAATTGTATCAGCCCTTTGTCAAGTTCACCTAATCAACAATAATTCGCACAAAGTTTTACAAAAAAAAGCTTCTTAGCATTTTCAGAAAATGCCATCAACTTTGGATACATTTCTGGGTCACATACCCTCTGGAGAAATACATTCCAGTAGTCAGTTCCCAACTCAGAGATGATTTTTGCCTTAAGGCAAAACTCTACAGCCAGCATTGCATTTGTCTCAAGAGGTAAGAAGATAAAAAATTTTTCAAGCAGCTGTCATTTTTCTTCCCGCACAGCACTTGATCAAGACAGCAGGCCATTCAAGTACTACAGTCTGGTCTTTAACATTCCCATAATATTCACTACTTACATTTTTTTTGCCACAGATTCATTCAAGAATTCACCAGTAAATTCTTATTACAACTAGAACACCTTAGCAGAAAATTTGAAGTTTTAAGTACGAACTCCTGATTTGAAACGTGTCAGTCAATAATGTTCATCAATTACAAATAAAATGCCAACCTGAAAAACTATTTCTACATATACTTGGGGAGTGACATTGAATTAAGATGTATTAAATCAGCCACCTAACAAAATCAGTATGGAAAAGCAAGCTAAGATGCAACTCAGGAACCTCTGAAAGTGAGAATTTTGATGTGACCAGTCTTAGACATCTATATTTTGAGTAATGCAGCCACCAAATCACAATGATCCTTTAGGAATCTGTAACTATTTTAAGTAACTCTCTCTTATTTCATTACATTTAAGAGGAACTAAAAGGATGCTGCAAAGTGATCACATAACCCTTCATTCATCAGTCTTCATAGATTGCTAGAGTGAAAGAGAAGACTGTTTGAAAGTCAAATTCTGAATAGAACAAATAGCTTTCTACCTTCTTTGAATGTTAAATCAGTATCAAGAGGATCTCTTGAAGTTCACACTTTTAAGGTATGTGAGCAACTTACACTATTAAACGCATATTTTAAGAATACCCAAGTATTTCTAGCAAGATAAAAGAAGTGAAAGAAAAAAAATAATCACCATAACTAAAGTCAACAGTGGCTCTTCTAGCACTGAACTGCACAGTCGTCACACAGTGTAGAAGACAGACACAGGAAATAAACTTTTCAGAATTGTAGGCAAAACTCTAACTTTCCAGAACAAGGCTTCTCTGCATTCATGGCAGAAACGTGACCACTCCTTCATAAATTTCAGCTGCTTAAAACACAGCTGAGTTATTAAGATAAGAATAATCACAATCATGTGATATAGAGTAATCACCGAAGATCACTAGCACATGCATTCATTGTTGCAGTACTATTTCAAAAATCAGTAATTGTATTTTTTCCTGAGGACAGAAAGATCAATATAGCAAAGTGTTCTGTCACAGAACAGTTCTGGAAAAAAAGTGAGACTGTAATTGCTGACCCAGTGAAGTAATGCAGGTTCTCCAGCACACCACTATTACAATCCTAGTGGCCAGCCAGGAGACAGAACTGAAATAATTGTCTGCTTAGGAACAGAGAGCCATTCCTGTGGACAGTATGAGATATAACAGATCCAGTGATTCATAAAAAAAAAAAAAAAAAAAACCACAAGGCTGACTTTTCACAGGTAAAAATTAATGGACATTTTTTCTTCAGCTGTTGACACACCAGCAAGAAAAAATCTAAATGGGTTTTTACGTCTCGTCTCTAAAATGCAACTATCATTAAAATTAGTAAATAATCAGTTCAGTACTGGAGACTTACAACCAATTATAAAACAAAGTTACATTTTTTGGCAAGTCCCTAGTCTTTCCTAACCATTTATGTACATTAGAATCTCTAAATATATTTGACATGGTTATTAGTCTGATGCTAAGCCAACTCAGAAATCAAGTAACTGGATCAAAATGGACTAGAAAAGGTAGTGGGTTAAGTGATTGTACTTGCTAGAGGAAATAATTAGCACTTTAAAGATAACTTCTACTTCTCTGCACATTGGCTCATATAAAATTAAGAAATGTCAATTGTGGAGAAAGATTTTTAAAAGTAGCAAGTCAAATCTGCCCAAAATTAGATCTCAGTTATGCTCATAAAACTGCCATTAAGGTAATGAAATGTTGTGCTCGAAAGAGAGTTTATGTAATATAAATTTATCTCTAATTTGTTTGAATCTGCAATCTGTCTGAACTTCAGATGTCACCATTGCTAAATAGAACATATTCCAATAGTAACACAATTAGTAAACAAAAAGCGACTCTAAAATGAAAAGCATCTTTAAATCCCATAAGAGTTTATGTAATATAGATTTATCTCTAATTGGTATGAATCTGCAATCTGTCTGAACTTCAGATGTCACCATTGCTAAATAGAACATATTCCAATAGTAACACAATTAGTAAACAAAAAGCGACTCTAAAATGAAAAGCATCTTTAAATCCCTCAATACAAGAAGGCTTTAAAGCCCTCAATACAAGAAGGACATGGACCTGATGGAGAGGGTCCAGAGGAGGGCCACAAGGATGATCAAGGGGATGGAGCACCTCTGCTACAAGGACAGGCTAAAGGAACTGGGGTTGTTCAGCCTGGAGAAGAGGAGGCTCCGGGGAGACCTAATAGCAGCCCATAAGCTCAAACTGTTGCTCACAGAAAACTGACCTTTCTTACTGAATGCATAGATGCTTTAGTCTAAAAGGAAACACAAACAGAATCTGGAACTGTTTTCCTCCCATCACAAGGGATGCCAACACTAGCTAAAGATCACCAACCCTACCATACCCACAACTGCAGAGAAACAACAACACTGAAGAAGAACTTACTAAAGGCCTGTAGTGACAGGACGAGGGGAAATGGCTTCAAGCTGGAGGGGAACAGATTTAGATTGGAGATTAGAAGGGGGTTCTTTACTGTGAGGGTAGTGGAGCACTGGAACAGGTTGCCCAGGGAGGTGGTTGAGGCCCCATCCCTGGAGATATTCAAGGAGAGGCTCGACGAGGCCCTGGGCAACCTGGTCTAGTTGGGGGTGTCCCTGCTGACTGCGGGGAGGTCGGACTAGATGACCCTTGGAGGTCCCTTCCGGCCTGGGCAATTCTATGATTCTATGATTCTATCATAAGCTCAAACTGTTGCTCGCAGAAAACTGACCTTTCTTACTGAATGCATAGATGCTTTAGTCTAAAAGGAAACACAAACAGAATCTGGAACTGTTTTCCTCCCATCACAAGGGATGCCAACACTAGCTAAAGATCACCAACCCTACCATACCCACAACTGCAGAGAAACAACAACACTGAAGAACTTACTATATAAGATAAAAGCTTTCAAGAACTTCTAATTCTGGAAATACTTACGTAATGATCGTCGTCTCTTGTTCTTTAACTTTCTTCTTTTATTCATTCCAGCTTTAGATGGAGATTCCTCTTTGGCCTTTGGCTGACTGGCAACTTTTGAAGAGTTCTGCTGGCTGAAGTGTGTGGGCACATGACGGGCAAGTCCTCCCTGAGATGCAAAGCTGGCGTTGCACCCACCAACTACACACTAAGGAGAAAAACAACACAACAACTGTATCAGCGTGCTACGTGGCACTCATTCACAAGAGTTTGAGAGATCATTCAGTTTGACTTTTCTGGCTCAACATCCAACATACTAAGAGGAAGAGAAATTCTTAAAGACTACCCAATCCTTAAAAAGAAAAACAGAAACATAATCTGAAATAAATTTCTATCTGAACTTTATAACTCTCAATAATTATTCCATGGTATATTTTTTTCTATGCTTTATTATACTCTATAATATTGTAGAGCATAAAACCAAACAGTGCACTGACAAACTCTACCCACAGAAAATTAATGCTTCTGAAGAACCTTCCCCTTCACAGACCAACATCCCCTTGGTTTTCAAAATACTGCACTGTTGTTCTGTATTTCTCAACAGCTCTCTAATCTAATCTGCATTTGACAACAGTAATGTTCTCTAACATCCTCCTTTCCTTTGACAAGACAGAAGTAAAAAATTACATCATTCTGTGATCTTTACCTACATTAAATCTGAACACCTTAACGCTTTTTGTAAAGCTCTACAAAGTCAATAAACACTTATCTTACAGTTGTGTCTAAAACTTGAACTTTAGTAACTTCAAAGTTGTATTAACAATTATCTATAGATTTATTTTGGGATGCTAATATTACTTCAGAAGTATTTGAGGAAGTTCTTTTTTAAAGAAAATGGTCTCTCTCAAACAGAAAATAAAAGATTCAACAATAATTAAGCAGAAACACAGAAACAGCAAGATAATGTGCAACTAAGCTAGTACTGGCTACAGTAATTATTGGTAGTTTTATAAGTATTTGGTTTATATTTACAATTATTTCCATTTGCAAAATGAGTATTTAAATTATCCTATGGTAGGCACAAACCTTTTCTCTTGTGCCCTGAGTTTTCAAGAGTAATAGAAAAGTAATTTTAAGATATGCATTCCATCGTTGGCTGCAATGAATTGTCTATCCACGTGATCAATTTTCCTTCTGATCCAGGGAATGGTAGTAGGGCAAATGAGTTGATCAGCCAGTAGCAAGAAACCCATCACCGCTCTAAACCATTGGAAAGTTCTCCATCTTCCATATCTGTTCTGCTCCTTCCCCTCTTTCTCAGTTCTTTCATCTGTACCTCTCTTCTCTAGCACCTCCCTCCACGGCAAATTGATGAGGCAGCTCCAATGAGTTCAGGAATAAGTAATGCTGCCACTATCTACAGTGCTAATTTTTTTTCTGAAGGCTAAGGATGAATTTGCAAGCTCTTACAGTAATCCGCCCCAAGCCCAAAATTAACTGAAAGACAAGAAAACAGCAGTAGAACACCACTCAGCACGTTTTGACCCTAAAACCCAACTGTGTTGTTTTCCAACTGTGGCTGCAGAACTGAAAAGTCTATTTCTGCCTCAGACCTAGCAAGTGGTATTGGTATTTCACGATCATCATGGAACAATATAGTGTCCATGAAGGCAAAAACCTGTGTTATCCCCAAGGACTTAATACTTGCTATAGGACTAAACATATGTATATGTATTTCAAGACAACAAAAGACAAAGAAAAGGAAAACATCTGTCACATTTTCATTTGCCTTTTTTTTTTTTTTAAAGAAAAAATACTTAGAGGAAGTTATGGAAATTTTTCTAACTCCTGAGCTAACTACAAACATATAATTCCCTGACAAAAAGCTGTAGGATTCTTCACACTGTATTTGTTCCTCCCTGTCTCCCTTATTTATAAGTATCTTAAGAGTTGTTAAGATTTATACCAAAAACCTACATACACCTTTTTACCTTGCCCTACAATTTTCTGTGTTCAAACAGCAATATTGTATACTTCTCTTGTAGTGACTTCCAATATAAGAAATCCCAGCAATCTCTGAACTTCAAAACACTTAAGATCCTGATCTCATTTACACTACGGTAACCCCAATGCAATATTTATCACTTCAAATTAATATTAAAATTTACACTTATAAAATCACGGAATGGTTTGGGTTGGAAGGAAACTTTAAAAATCATCCAGTTCCAACCCCCCTACTGTGGGACATCATCTACTAGATCAGGTTGATCAATTTACACTTATAAAATCACAGAATGGTTTGGGTTGGAAGAGGAAGTTATGGAAATTTTTCTAACTCCTGAGCTAACTACAAACATATAATTCCCTGACAAAAAGCTGTAGGATTCTTCACACTGTATTTGTTCCTCCCTGTCTCCCTTATTTATAAGTATCTTAAGAGTTGTTAAGATTTATACCAAAAACCTACATATACCTTTTTACCTTGCCCTATAATTTTCTGTGTTCAAACAGCAATATTGTATACTTCTCTTGTAGTGACTTCCAATATAAGAAATCCCAGCAATCTCTGAACTTCAAAACACTTAAGATCCTGATCTCATTTACACTAGGGTAACCCCAATGCAATATTTATCACTTCAAATTAATATTAAAATTTACACTTATAAAATCACAGAATGGTTTGGGTTGGAAGGAAACTTTAAAAATCATCCAGTTCCAACCCCCCTACTGTGGGACATCATCTACTAGATCAGGTTGATCAAAGCCCCATCCATCCTGACCTTGAACCTGACCTACTTAGTTGTATTAAAGATGATCAAACTCCTAACCAGACTTAGGTAAATACATGCCTGCATTAGTTCAAGCAATTTTCTATTCTCCAGTTTTTAAGTCTTTGAAATAGCTGTCTTGCCTATAAAAGCAGATTCATGAAACTAAACAATGTAACTAAATTTTTAAACTTAGGTTTAACTTTAATTAAGGTACTCCTGACTTCAGCTTCTAGCTGTCTCCCAATCCTACAAACACTGACATTAAAAAAAAAAAAAAAAAGGGTGAAAAAAACCCACCCATACCCTCAGCTTCAATCACACTGAGAAATTAAAATTTCAGTCTTGCCAATGTCTCCACAGCTTCAATCACACTAAGAAATTAAAATTTCAGTCTTGCCAATGTCTGCTACAGGTCAAAAGTAACCTAGAGTCTTGGTACAGTGCATGCATTACTATATTCCAAGCTTATTAAAGGATAAATTAAAAGTCAATGCCTTCTGAAAGTAACACACAAACTTTGTGTCAGGCTATTGCCATATTCCAAGCTTATTAAAGGATAATATTAAAAGCCAATGCCTACTGAAAGTAACACACAAACTTTGTGTCAGGCAAACTTCTAAATTTTTTTAACATACAAGTTCATAAGACTTAATTGTATTTCTTGTGAGATGGGAAACATTGTTTTATGACAAACTGCAGTTTGACTCACGATGTCCTAACTTGATTTTTGTTTAGTTGTGTCAAAGAAAACACAGATATTCTATACAGATTATCTAAAGAAACTACCACTTACTTTCTTGCTGTACCCAAGTTTTACTTTCAAAAGCCTCAAACCAGCAACCTTAAATCTTCAATATATGCAACTTGCAACTAGAAATTAGCTCTTTCCAGAAAGTCTATTTATAGTCTGCAGCCACAGTATGAAATATTTGCAGAAATCATTACATTCAGATATCGTGTAGTTTGAGACTACCTGATCATGTCATCAAATAGCACCTGATATATCAAAGATGACACAGAATGCCTTTGCAGTAGACAGGAAATAGTAGAAGAGGAGAAAAATCTTACCTTTTTCTCTTTTTTTTCTCTAAAATAATATATCCAGCAATCCGTTACTAATGGTAAAGTCTCTTCTCTCCAAAGATAAAGGAGCAGTTCAGGCTGTCACTTCAGGATCTCTGGACGGTAAGTCACACCAAATCAGCTTCCCACCAGATAATTATACAGATCTAGAGGGCTTCTAATAAATCAAACTCAACTATTACGCACAACTTTAAACCAATCTTTTCATTTTTCCCCCAAAACCTAAATCTCAAAATTTTGCATTCAATTTTAAATATGGTAGATTGGGTCCGGATTGGTGGATATGTTACTTCAAGAGAAAATAAGTCAATACGTAAGAAGTTTAAATTCTCCAGTGTACCCATACCCACCACTACTAATGGGCAGTAATGACCAGTGACTTTAACAAACAGGGTATAAAAATATCTAGCAATACAGGTTATTTTCTAAATACAAAATAACCAAATCTCCTTTTTAAAAATAATGTGTTATTTTTCCAATAATGTGTTATTTTTCCAATAAATCTAACTAATATTTTAGACATATTTATTATAAGCCTTCTTATTGTCTCAATACCTAAGGGTTCAGGCAGAATGCCTCTACATTTTCCATCTGCAGTGCTCTAATAGATAGAAGATATTCTGCCAAGAGAGTAACAGGCATGAATTCCAAATGAGGACTGAAGCTGCTTGGCCGTATTTTCTAGATTTCAACAAGTGTTAGTCTACCGAGACACATACCAAATGCAGTCACCCTTAATGAATTCTTGAAGTTAGAGGTAGTAGAATAAGCACAAAATGCCATTTAAATTATTATTTTCTTCCCCCCTTTTAAACAAAAGATGAAAGCCTCCAATGAACCTGTGTACTGTTACTCATTGTTATTGAAAGCATTTACCCAACATGAGCAAAGCTTGCATGACTATCTTAAACATGAAGAGCATACCCACTGGAATCTGTATTTGTCCTTTTGCTGTGCCTAATATCTTGTATTTGGCCACCTGGACTACATTTTAAGGGTTCATTTGATATGTCTTCAAGTAACTCTCAATGCCTTGTACCGCAACAAAACATGGTGAGTAGTACTTCAGTTTTGGTTTCTGGGGTTTTTGGGGTTCTTTCTGAGTATCAGAAACCATGCTGGGAAATGCAGGTTGTCACAGAACATTAACTATTCAAGTAGTTACTATTTGTAACAGCCAAGTTCAGGACAAGTAAGAGTTTCTTCATACACTTTTTCTCAGCTTGCCAAAGACAGTTACCAGCATCAGCTTTAGAATCATAGAATTGTCTAGGTTGGAAGGGACCTTAAAGATTGTCTAGTCCAACCATCAACCTAACTCTGACAAAAAAATAAATAAGAAATAACCAATAAA